CCCTTGAGTGGAATTTTAGACTCACACAACTAGCTCTACACAGGTAGTACACTATTGGACACGGCTGTCTTTTCGTCCTACAGTCCTTTCTCACATATTGGTTTCTGAGTGAGGCCTGCAGTGTCAAGTCCCTGCCTGCGGATCATCAACATCCCACGTGTTGCTTTTGTTTCTGTTATTGTTGTATCCTCAATAGTTATCTATCTCTTCTGACAGTCTATATCACTTATTTATCACTTATTTTAATAAAATAATCTAACCATTGCAACAGCTATCAAAATACCTGCAAGCAAACCCTGAATCCATCACTCTAGAGTCCAACCTTGGAAGACAAGAGAAAAACAAGGGGTGCTTTTGGAAGCCCTTGTCAAGAAATTCCAATGGAATCTCATATGAACATTTGAAAATTGCCCTGTTCTGACTTTCTCTAGTTCCCTGTCTAGAACTTGCAATGTTAATTACTCTTGCCTTTAGAAGAATTATGCAATTTGGGAGTCTTTTAGATAGACCCACTGAAGGACTACTCCAATTGCCTCACCCTGTGTCTCTCCCTGTTCAACATGGAAGAAGCCAGAGCGTTCTGCTTCCTGATTCCCTATTGGCAATTTGGGTAACCTCTTCAGAGAATGGTGTGATAAGAATAGGAGGTAGGAATTGGCTAGGCAGTTAGGGTAAAAAGACCCTGAAGAAAAGTAGCCAGTTCCTTGGCTAAAACTCACAATGTCCTTGGGCCTCTCACCAACATATTCCATTCCAAAGGCCAAAAATTTCAAAATATTTGGGAGCTTTTATCTAATCCATAAAAGATTTTAGGATTACCTCTTCAAAGGGGGAAATGTTAGAGTAGCCAAAAGCCCCATAAAAATAAATTAAAGAAAGATAGAAGAAAGAAAGAAAGAAAGAGATAGAGAGAGAAAGAAAGAAGAAAGAAAGAAAGAAAGAAAGAAGAAAAAGAAAGAAAGAAAGAAAGAAAGAAAGAAAGAAAGAAAGAAAGAAAGAAAGAGAGTATATGAAGTTATCAGAAAAAGAGATGGGGAGATATAGGAGGAGTTGGAGGGGAGGGAGTGGGCATGGATTTGATCAAAACACCTTATATGCGTGTATGAAATTCTCAATAAATTTAAAAAAACTACAAATGAACCATTTGACCCAGTTATATCACTCCTTGGCACATACCCAAAGAGCTCATCCCATTGCAGAGATACTTGTACATCCATGTTTGTTGCTATTCTTTTCACAATAGCTAAGAGATGGAAGAAACCAAAGGAACTGAGGAATGCATAATGAAAATGTGGTTCATTTATATGATGGAGTTTTACTCATCAGTAAAGAAAGATGAAATCATGCAGGTAAATGGGTGGAACTAGAAATTGTAATACTAAGTGAACTAACACAGACTCAGAACAAAAAGACATATATTCTCTTCATATGTGGATTCTAGCACCAAATCCTTATAAGTAAGTATGTATGCAGACATAACTACAGGAACCAGGATAATGAAAAGGAACTAGGGGAGTAAAGGAAAAGAAAGAATTTGAAAGAGAAAAACAGTAGGAAACAGGCATTAATAAGGGAGATATGGATAAATATAGGATTATTTTAAAGGGAGGAGGGAGGGAGGGTTATACAAGGAACCTTGGGATAAAAGAAAAGAAGAAGCTCAAGAGAGGTGGGACCATAGGAGAAGGGTATTATTAAGGGAGAAATGAGAATAATGGGGGCATTTTAAATGGGGAAAGCTTGGTGGAAGGATTAGACAATGTGAGACATAAATGATGTCTAGCTAGTTTTTAAAACAACCAAAGGGAGCCATTTTAATAGAACAACCTACTGACAAATTATACATAAAACTAGCTCAAGGAATATATTTCTAGGCAAAGTTTATATGAGGATGTTTGGTCTTTGGCCAAGCTTTATCTACACTGCACATGGTAACTAAATGTACCAGACTGGTGGAACTAAACTTCTTGAATGTTTGCAGCCATACTTTGAGATCTATACTAATTTGGCCAGAGGGACATAAAGGACTGTTTTTGCTCCCTGCTCTCCTAGATCAACTAATTTCCAAGGGACCATGATTACCTCTCCAAATGTCCTGTAAATGTGGTATGTCACCTGTCCTCTTTATCAAGGAGGCCGTGGAGACCCCATCAAATGGACTTGAACCAGTGTCCAGTCTACAAAGAAGAGGGTCCACACAGAGGAAACATGTCCTCAATGCTTCTAAGCAAAGCCAGCCATGGTCAAGTAGGACCTTTGACCTATCTTCACATAGATGGAACTGGTAAAATAAAGGATCCAAGGACTGCTCCCAAGTCCATGAGATACCTAAGGAATAAATCTTCAAATGGCCTTAAGAGTGAAAATAAATTGGTTTATCTGGGTCAACTGTATGGTATTAAATACCCAAAAGAAAAGTATAAAATATTAAAGTATAAAATATTAAAGGGATCAATATAATTCTTCAAGAGTTCATGTGTATAGGTAAAGGCAATATACCAAGAAACAATGCTAGACAGGAGATACCTTCCTTTGAGTTTTCAGCCAGGGTGACCAAAGAGACTCCCAGACAGTAACCCAGCATAGAACTGGGAAAATGAACTAGAGACCCGAATCTTATCTAAAGTAATATTGGCAACTGATTGCTGCTAGATGAGGAGAGCTGATCTTCCTAAAACAAGGAACTCTAGATAGGCTGAGTAGATTCAGCGGATGGACAAGCACTGGGGAACGGCTAGGGGCACCAACAACAGTGAACACTAACAGGGATGTCAGAGCATATGTGCTCCAATGGGGGAAGGGGGCTATAGGAGGGTGCATTTGGGATGTGCATAGTTAGATGAATAAGATTGTTTGGGATTGTCTGTATGAAATACACACAAAAAATCAACAAATTAAAAGAAATTAGTTATATTTGAGGAAGAAACATAAAAATTTGCTTCATGGTAATTAGTAGAGGTGAAAAACATTACCACTGAAATCTACCTGATGTCTTTATAACCATGCTCAGGTGCCAAGGATCTGGGTGTAACTGATTATAACTAGTAATAATCAGATACATAGAGATTAGAGACGCATTTTCAAACGTGT